GTGCGCTGGCAGACGTTCGCCAACGCCTCAACGCACTCTGCAGATGCGCAGACCACGCGGTCAGCGCTCTTCCCCTCTGCTCCGTCCACGGGCGCGAGACAGAAGCGGCACTGGCGTGCCGTCCCGTCCACGAACTTCTTCGTCGGCCGGAACTCAACGATGCTGCGAAGGTTCACGGGATCAACTGGGAAGCAAAGACAGCAAGCAACAACCCGGCAGAGTTTGTGAGTCCTCGGTTTGGATGGGCGAGCGTGCCATACAGGTCAAGGTGGCGAATGCACAGTCCACATGCTGGCAGTGCACGCAATGCTGCGGGCGTGTGCGCACTGCAGTGATGAGCGGCACAAAGTATGGCCCAAGGAGCGTACGGTGGCCTTGGCCCATGAATTGTTGCTGCCTCACCGAGAATAAGGAAGGATGGCTGCTTGATGCGCGTGTATCCGTCGTTCCACTCCACAGACAGCGTCTCAATCTGGTCAATGTCCTTGCGCTCGTGGTTCCGCTGCGCACGAGGGAGACACCCATCAGCACGTGAGCAAATGCGTCGTGGGCGGAAAGGCGAAACCCGACAAGTGCAGGCAGGCGAGCGGTTTCCTGAAACACAAACAAACAAACCAACAAAACCAACAAAACCAACAAACAAAACCAAACCAACAAACAAACAAAACCAACAAACAAACAAAACCAACAAACAAATAAACTAAGTAAACCAAACAAACCAAACAATTCACACACACACACACACCTTTGACGGGTGCAAGTGCGCAAATTTGTCGCAATAAGTGCAGTAGTGGGCGTGGCAGGTGTGGCAAAACACAGCTGCAGCCGTGACACCGTCGTCGTGATGTTGACACAAAAACGTATTGCCCTATTTGTTGGCCGCGTGTGGAATCAGCGGACCCATGAGTGAGTGTCAGCGTACTCATGAGTGAGTCGGGAACATCAATGGGCAAACACTTGCACAACGCACGCACACACACACACACACACACACACACGTACACATGCACATACACATATACACGCACACATACACATATACACGCACGTACACATACACATATACACGCACGTACACAACACTCCATCCCCCTTGCCTCTCCTCCAAGCAACCAACCTCTAGCTGGCGAATGGTCTTGTTGATGCCACCAACGGTGGTCTTGGTGAGGACGGCGAGGGCGGCAGCTGCAAGCCACGTGGAGTAGTCGCCAAAGAGCCCAAACATCGACTCCACCTCGCCCTCCACCGTCCGTGCCCGATGGTTCAGATCAAGCAGCAGCGAAGCCAGCTCATCCTACGCCACGTGTGCGTGTGTGGCGGGGGAGGGGGGATGTGCGAGTTTGTGGCATGTCAGAAACCAAAGGGAAACGTGTTATTGGTACTACCCAGAAGCCTTGTACTGACACGCACACACATACACACACGCATGCACACACACTCACGCTTACATACGAACCTTGACTTCCTTCTGCCAGGCGGAGGTGCGAAGGAGGAACGAGACGAGGCCAACAATGTCTTTGAAGGCGCCCGCACAGTCCCCGGCCACCTGCCACGACGACACCTGCTGCTTGATGCGCCGCGCCGCCTCCACCAAGTGCGTGTCCGCGTCTGCGTTATCGGTGGTTTTCGCGGTTGCTGCTGTCGGATCAATAGACGCCTGCCGCGAGAGGCCGAGCGACGCTGTCTGTGACGGCAAACAGTGCTCCTCCACACCACACAGCTGCTTCAACGACAGCTGTTGCGTCGTGCTCGTCAGCCCACCGCCCTCCTCAGACAACCGGAAGCGCAGCTAAAACGGGAGATGTGCATGCATGCGCATGCCTGTGTGTGAGTAACAACACAAAACGTAAACAAGCAAGGGGGATGTCAAGCCACACACCAAAGCATCGGCGGCCCACCAAATAAACAAAATTAAGCGCCACACACACACACACACACACACACACACACACACACACACACACACACACACACACACACACACACACACACACACACACACACACACACACAAAACACAACGCACGTCGCAAGTACACGCGCAACACCACCCGCACCTGGACTTGGATGATCTTGGCAACAGCGGCGAGAAGCATGCGCACGTGGGAGACGGCGATTGCGGTGCCAGCAAAGGACACCACGTCCACCTTGGGCAGCGACGGGTATTTTTGGCGTGGCGCAATCACCCGCAGCAGGTTGACTGCGGCAGACTGCACGCGTGTCGATGCGCAATGCACGAGCTGGTAGAGGAGTTTCAGCACGGCCATGGAGGGCACGGCAGAGGCGCTGCGAGACAGCGCGTCCCTGAGAAGATCCAGCAGCTCAAGCACGTATTCCTCGCGGCTCTCAAGCTCCAACGCTTCCTCCTGCTGCGTGTCCGTGTCGCTGCCACTGTGCTCGGCCGGTGAGCTGCAGCACGCCTCCACCACCGCCGCCGTCTCAACCTTCAGCCCGCGCACAATGTGCTTGAGCATCTGCGTCTGCAGCGGGCCCGTGTTGAGCGCCGTGTCTCGGTTCAGCAAGCCCAGCAGCTCCTCGTCCCCCGCGCCCCCGCGCCCAATCAGCGTCTGGGCGTCGGACTTGAGCAAGCCCGCGCTCAGAAGCTTGAACAGCACTAGCGCATCGCAGTGGATCGGGTGGCCCATAGTCGCTTCGTTGCTCAGCGCGCGCGACCCAGCGCCGCAGCACACGCGTACCTGGCGCACCCGCACCTCCGACCGGCTCTTCAGCACCAGCTTCAGCTCCACAACAGCGTCGAGCTTCCCCGACGACTGCGCAGGGCACTCGAGCATCAGCCACATGGGCCGCTTGCTTGCGGACGGCACCGGCACAGACACGGGCTTGTCCATGCCAGAGGACGTCAGGTCCTGCAGCTCAATTGCAGTCGGAATGCGGTCACGAGGGTCGCGCGTGGGGTCCACGTGCACATACACGGCTTTGGGCGGGCCAACGTTTGGGCCAACCTTCTCCCGCAGGACGGCCGGGTCGAGCGTAAGCTTGATCCAGTTGACCGAGAATCCGCCCTGCGCCTGCCACATCGTGTCCGTTCGCCCGTCAACCAGCGACCCAGCCATGTCCGGCTGGCTGCTCACGGAGACCTTGGCGTGCGGGGTCACATCGATCTCGTCCTCGCCAAAGATGGCCCCATCGGCGTCTTCCTCTGCTTCCGCCTCAGTGTTGACATCGCCGGCGTTGGCGTGTGAAACGGAGACGCTCGTCCTTGCCGTGGCGTTCGTGCTTGTTGCGGTTGTTGTCGCTTTGCTGCTGTCACCGCCACTGTCACCACCGTCACCACCGTCACCACCATCACCACGACTACCATCCGGCCCCTTGCCCTTCGCTGTTGTCTCGTCTTCCTCCACTTCGTCCTCCTTTAATTCTTCCACCTTGCCCTCCTGGCCTTCCTCTCCCCTCACATGTGCTTCATCTTCGTTTTCCTTCTTGTCAGCTGTCACCTCTGCCAGCGGCTCGTCGTTCCCTCCCGCCGTCTCCGCGCCCCCTTGCTTGCCTGCGCCACCGCCAACATCAGCAACTGCACTGGACGTGCGTGTGCGCGAGATTGTGGTTGTCCCGCGCCGCGGCGACGGTGCAGCAGATGGCGACGACCGCTCCTCCATCAGCAGCAGTTTGCTCAGCCACGACAGCACGTGTGTCCCCTGCAGCAGCTGCGGCTCGCCCTCCGCCACGCGCGGCAGCGCCCAGCACCGGATGGCCAGCCGCTGCAACGGGTGCGCTGGCGGGAGGCTTGTGCCCATGTGCGCCACCATGCTCAGGAACTGGATCAGGGCCGTCCGACTCGCGCGCAGCTCAAGGCCGTGCCCGAGATCAAGCGTGTGGATGGCGTTCACAGACTCCTCAAGCAAGTTCAGCTTTCGGCGCTTGGCGGTGACCCCGGCCTGGCTGTCCTCAGTGCCACGACCATCGGCGTTCTTGGGCTTGTCGCCTTCACCATCATCATCATCATCACCACCACCACCATCGCCTTGCTTCTTGCCCTTCTTGTCCCTGTTGCCCTGGTGCTGCTTGTTGTCCTTGTCCTCGCCATCCTTTCCGTCCTGCTGCTTGCGCGCATCGGCCTTGTTGGCCTGGTCTCCCTTGCTGCTGCCACTGCCCTTTTCCTCCTCGCCCACACCACCGTCTTCTGCTGCCGGGGTTTCCGCATCGTCCTCATCGTAGTACGTTGTTGCCGTCGATCGCGTCGCAAACAGGCTCGAAAACGCTGACAGCACCGACGCCAGCACGTCCACCCGCGTGGTGGTGCGCGCCAGAAAGTTGAGCACGCCAATGCTTGTCCAGGGCGACATTGCTGCGTCCTCCGTGTCACCAAACGCGCGCTGCCAGTCCTCGGTGCTCGCGCCCTCCCGCACGCGCGCCACCAGCACCTGCACCTCCTCAAAGAACTCAAGCATGTCCTTGACGCTGCGGGCAATCCCCAGGGCGCTGCCTGCGGGGGCCCCCGTTGCCGCTGTCGCAGGCACGGGCGTCTCGACGGAGGAGAAGCGGCGCAGGCCCGCGCGACGCGGCGATGGCGGGGCATCTGATGACGAGGGCGTCCGCAGCAGCCCAACAGAGGATGACAGCTGCCTGCTCGGCGACGTGCTGACGCCCGCGCCCATCAGCTCCAGCGCGGAGAAAGGCTCTGCCTCCAGCGGGTGCTGCAGGGCGGAGAGGCTGTGGCTGGCGAGCGCGGGCTCAAAACGCAACAGCTCCGACGTGACGCTTGCCAGCCGCGAGAGCTCCTCGGCAGACTTCTGCCCAATGCGTGACAGCTGCACGTGCCCGAGCACAAACGCGGCGTCCTCGACCAGGCGGTGCAGGGCCGGCGTGGCCTCGGAGGCCGTGGTAGCATACCGGCGCACAAGCTCGCGTGGGACAAGGCAGGTGAAGGAGGACAGCTCCAGGCCAATCCTGATCTGCAAGGACACGAGGTCCTGTGGTGGAGCATCAGAGGGAACCATCCACGGCAGGAGCGGCGACTGCTGCGTCAGGGCAAGGTACTCTGGCCAGCCAAACGAACCCAGTCTTGGGAAGTTGACAAACGACACGCTGCGCCCTGCAGTGAGTGGGAAAGGTGGTGGCGGGCGAATGAAAGCGACGCAGTGAGTGTGTTGTGCGCAGTAGCATGTACGTGTGCATGTTTGAGTGCACGTGCGCGCGTGTGTGTGTGTGTTGTCGAATATGTGTGTGGTGAACATGTGTACGTGCGTGCTAAACTATGTGTGTGTTTGTGTGTTGTGTTGAACAGTGTCAGGCATTCACGGTGTCAGTGCGTGCATGCGTACCATGAGCGGCCGCGGTGCCGACGGGGAAGACGCGAAGCGGCGCCAAGGAGTCCAGGGTGACAAGCTGGTTCTCCGTGTTGACAACGGGAACATCAACGTACACCGCCGTGCTGTCCTGGTCTTCGCTGGCGAGGCGCCCAGGAACAATCACCGATGCATCACAGGTTGGATCATACCGCATCACGCCATCCTTCGCCGTGACATGTGCAAGATGAACCTCAACCACAAGCCCGTGCAGACTGGACGGCGCTTGCGCATGCGCCAGCAGACGCGCTATTATGCGTGCCACGTGGAAGGAGAAAAGGCAGGGTGAAACACACGCAGGATATGGGTTTGGGACAATCGAGTATGTGTGCGCGTGTTCGTGTGTTCGTGTGTTTGTGTGTTCGTGTTCAGCAAGAATCACGACACAGCCGCGTGAAAAGGCACGCACAGGCATTCAAGCACAGGTACACAGACATTCAAGCATTCACACACAGACAAGACATACACACGCGCCCGCACACACGATACCTTGCATGGTGTGGGAGAAAAGGTTGACCAGGCACGCCGTGTTGCATTCTGCGGAGGCACTGAGGACTTCGGATTCATCGTACATGCGCGCATACATCTTCTGCTTCGCGTACACGGGCACATCCCTCAATGGCAGGAACTTGCTCGCTTCCAACACATCCTCCGCCTGCCGCCGGCGCGCGCACACACACACACACACACACACACACACACACACACACACACACACACACACACACGACGGAAGACCGAGCACGTGCTGTTGGACGGATGCAACACGATGTCTTTGAACTGATGCGCATGCTGATGATAATCCTGCACCAGTACGTGAAGAAGGGGGGATACATGATCATTCATGCGCGCGCTGAGCTCACGGGGATGGTGGTCACACACACACTTTCACGGACACCTGCTCTACTGCCTCATGTGATTACCGCACCTGCTGTAACTGATATGTAGCTCGGGTGCTCCTGACGCTGCGTGGGG